CAGCCCCTGTACAGGAAACAGAGAAAGGCGCCATCTTGTCCTTTGCCTCAGGCAGTAAAGTATATTGGTCTGGCCCTGTTTCATGTCAGAAACCCCACGGCTCTCATCATTTACGTTCTTGTTATTGTGTCATCCTTTTTTTGCCGATGCCAACGTTACCATGGGCACCTAGCAACATATTAATTTGCTGTCGTCTGATTAATAATTCACTTCATTGTGAGTTCAATAACGAGTTCAGAAGAACATGGTCAATAAATAATAGATGGCATTCTTTCTCTCTCCAACTTGGCTTTAATTAAATTACATTCATTATAACAATACAATAACAAGAGAGGGAGTTCAATAACCCATTTTAACAGTTTCTCCTAGAAAGAAAGATTTGCTAAATCGTATAGTCTATGGTTTAAACAGTTGACGCGGTAACAAGCTGGCTTTTTTGAAAAAAGAAAGAATAAAACTCAGACCAGCTGATATTCTTTTATAATAAGAGGTAACAGGTGTTCCCTGTAACATTGCTGTGTTGCTGCAGGATAAAGTTTACCTTATTCAAACACTCCAGAGAGGCATGTTCTTCATTTATCTGCAATCATATTTTTGTGTCTCCAAGGAGTTCACAGTTCTCCCATTTTATGCTCACAAACATCCTTTGGGGTTTAGCCCGGCTGACAGAAATAGGGACATCAAGGCTATCCAGATAGTTCCTTGACTGCAATCTTAACTCCCACTTACCCAGGAGTAAGCCCTGTTTATGTCAAAGGACTTATTTCTGAATAGACATGGTTTGAGTAGAGATTTGAGTAGCGATTTAAACCCCAGTGTCCCCAGTCAAGATCCAGCGTTCTCTTCATTGCACCACAAGTTGAAAAAGCTTTAGATGCTCACAAATACTTTCAGGATAACACAAATCTTAGACTCTGTCCCTCACTCTGTAGTCTTTAACATACTGTTCACTCTTAGGCTGGATCAGGATTTGCTGTACTCTCTCACTATCTTCAAGATCTTCCCATAGCCCCTTAAGTACAGAATTCATATTATTTTTTGAGACAACTATTGGATGCTCAGTTTATTATTATTCTAATAAGTCAGAATTATTTTCCTACTGGTCCAAATGCCCAACCCTTGTTTAGCCTCCCCCTGCCCTGGTTTGCTGAATTCAGACATGCTCCCACACCCATGCACTGCATTTTAGAGATTGCCATAATACACAGGTGTCTTATCCTAGGGTCTCATCCTTTCCCTGGCATGTTGAGTCGATGATGAGGGAACATGATCCCTCCCAATCTTCAATGTATTATGTTTGTGCAGGTTGATACAACTTATGCCAGGTCATATCAAATTCATCCCACAAGGGGTCGAATAATCCTCCAGCTTTTTGCTGCCAGCATGGGGTTGCAAAAATCGAGGTGGCATCAGTATGTATCTTATGGGCTGCATTCAGTTGTAGTATACAAGTTGTGCTGGCCTGTCATATGCATAGATGGCCAAATGGTTGAGCAATAAAGATTCTGATGTCCCTCTTCAGCAGTTGTCCAATAAATGCAAGGAGGCAGACCCCAAAATTCACTGCTGGATTGCAAATATTTTCATAATCCTGCACCAACCCTAGCAGAACTAAAACATGTCAAAAAACGATGTGATACACAAGTACGCCCTCAGTATACAGGCACAGCCTTCATGAGTGGATTCCTCTAATTCCAAATTGCAAAGTCCCGAGAGTTAGAAGGCATCTTTCTTAAAATCGTAGGCAAATGGAAAAACACATTGCTATTGAGATCAGTGTGTTTCCACATAATAAAACACATGCTGCAATTTGATCCCCTTTAGGCAAACAGCACAGGAAAGCAAAGGCAAGCTTTTTCTTGCATCACTGCTATACTTTATTGCTGTGGTAAAATACCTCAGGGAGGTATTAAATGTTGATGTCATTCTCTTTCTAATTTCAGTGTGAGAAATACCCTGAGAAAAACTGTGTTTATACAGGGTGCAGAATGTAGACAAGAGTTTATTTTTAAAAGCCCACAAGGAGATATGAGTGTATGCATCTTATTTCTCTCTATCAGCTGGGTTCTTCCCTTTAGCTTACATATACTGGCAGAAAATGAGTTGTGAAATGCAAGGTGTTATAGTTTGAGATGCCATTATCCCCTGCCCTCTGGTGTAGAAAGTGCCAGCTTAACCTCTGCATATCAACATGCTCCGCCATTGTCTGGTTTTAGAACTTTATGCCTTTTTGCTTATTCTTATAGAATACCTCAACTAGGGAAAATGTGAAATGCCTGCATAGGCAGAATTTGTAAGTTTTGTTTGTTTGTTTCAAATAACCTTACTTTTCAAGGGACAGAAAAATAAATTGGTTATGACTGATGGTGAGTTTTAACATTTAACTTTACAGACATCCTATTATTTGATCTCAGGTGAATTGTTTGGGCTTTTTAAAACAATAATCATTAAAATAATAAAATACAGCTGCAAAATTCACCAATAACAAAGTTAACAAAACAGCAGTAAGGAATATCAGTGCAGGAGGAGGGAATACAACCCCTAACCAAAACTCTGGGGTAAATTTGTGTGTCACAAGGGGGAGATCATTCCTCCACCTGAGGATCACAATCTCACACAGGGAGCCCCAACCCCTTAAGCCACAGAGGGGGTGGCAATGCCCAAGGGATCTCTCTTGCTGACCTTAATACCAAACAGTTTGACGTATGGGATGAGGTGCTCCTTCAGTTAATCCGGACCCAATTTTTCCCCCAAGACTTCTCATTAGAGTCAGCTCATACAGCTCATACATTCAGCTATAAATTGGCAGTTACCTGAAATTCATGTAATTAACTCAGATGAAACAGCATAAACTTATATGACAGCATCACAAGGGTGCATGAGAACTACAGATGTTTTCACTCTCATTGCCACTAACCCACCTGCTGTGGGAGAGATCTCTCTCAGTGTCTTCTGCTCTTCTGTATTATCTTGATTTACTCTTGTTTTGCATCCAAGATCTTCATCTCAGCATGGTTATTTTATATCCTCTGCTAGGTTACACTTGGCATCCATTCTAATGCTATCTTCCAAGAATGTCAAATTTCCCCTCAGTTACACTCCTGGTGTATTGCCATCTGTTGCTCTTGATCTCCTCACTCATGTGCATTTCTTTTCCATTCAGTCAAATACTTTTAATTTGAAGTCCCAGCAGGACTCATGCATAATCCTTGTGCTGTCCTTATGTCCAAGGATGAACATAGGGCTATGTATCAGAGTGAAACGCTACCACTGCTGAAACTAGAAAGGATTTGTTTTTTTCTTAAGTAGGACTATGCATGTAGATACAGAACATTCTGATAGTGCCACAGTGTATAAGATTCAGGTCCCTGTTTAGCACTCACCACCCAAATTTCAACAACAGGGAAGGAAGAGTGAGTAAGGGACAAGGGATGGATATGCACAAATATGTATCCTTCATCGTACCATATATTGTTTTAACAGTATAATTAGCAACAACATCTGTTTGTATTTAAAATAATTCTAGGAGCAAAAGGATTTTCATCAGGACCAACCACAGTTTTGATTAACCACCTCCCAGCAACAATTAACATGGGGGGGGGGATCATTAGCACCAAAGGGAACGTTTCTGTGCCCCTTCCCAATGTTAACTCCTGTGTGTGGTGTGGAGAGTTCTGTCCCTTTAGCTAATCATGCTATTTAAGTGCTGTCTGGTTTTAGCCTTAGTTGCAGCTTGAGAGAACTAAGTGCTAAGGCAAAGGAAAGTGAGTTTTGAGGAAGGATTTGAAAGAAGAGAGCGAGAAGCAGCTTGCAGATGCTGTAGGCATAAGGAAATAGAAAGGGAGAAATAGAAAGGGAGAAAGGACAGAGAGGTTTAAAGAAGCAGGTGTCATGACCCTGGAGTCTGACTCTCCACTTTGAGGGCTAAGGCCATGGACTTGGAGGAAGTACCAGAACAAGAGAGGGAGTTGTCCTCAAAATCACCACCAGATGTGCCTCATAAGGCTCAGTTCAACTGGAGGGTGATAGAGGCGGAAAATCAAAAGTCACATGAAGAGCTATAGTGCAAGACAAGGACAGAAACAGGAAGATACACATAATTATACTTAAACTTGTATGTTATAAAGGTCCACTGAGAAGGACAATACCTCTTCTGAGATATGCATATGATTGTGACAAGCATATAGCTAGCGTAGAACAAATTAAGGAGTGAATTGAGCCCTGAGGTTCCTGCGTATGAATCCTTTGGAGAGCAATGTGCTTTAAATTGGATATTAGATTTAAAAATAGAAGCAAGAATTGATAACTCAAAGGGCATTTTTATTTTTGTGGAGGACCACTTATCTTTCAGTGAAGTGATCAGTATAATAAGAGAATAGTGGCCACGCTTAAAAAATAACAAAGAACAAAGTTATGTTTTAGGCCATAGTAACAACCTGTTAAGCTTGGCAATTTGGGAACCAGTCTTATAACAAGATTCAACTGGATGACAGCTTAACTCCCTCATTGTTGGCTCAGCTGAAGATATGCTGGTATATCTCTCCCATCCCGTCTCAGCTGGAAATCAGCCAGCTGAGCTGAGCCAACAGATCTTAAGAGGGCATAATTCCTGAAAAGGGGGCACAGTGTGACGGGACTAGAGCCTGTGCATTCAGCTTGGTGCAACTCAAATTCTATTTTAAAGGCTTGTTTTCCCTCTGCTGGGACGCAGGTGGCGCTGTGGGTTAAACCACAGAGCCTAGGACTTGCCAATCAGAAGGTTGGCGATTCGAATCCCCGCGACGGGGTGAGCTCCCGTTGCTCGGTCCCAGCTCCTGCCCACCTAGCAGTTCGAAAGCACGTCAAAGTGCAAGTAGATAAATAGGTACCACTCCGGTGGGAAGGTAAACGGCGTTTCCGTGTGGTGCTCTGGTTCACCAGAAGCAGCTTAGTCATGCTGGCCACATGACCTGGAAGCTGTACGCCAGCTCCCTCGGCCAATAAAGCGAGATGAGCGCCACAACCCCAGAGTCGGCCACGACTGGACCTAACGGTCAGGGGTCCCTTTACCTTTACCTTTTCCCTCTGCTAGGCTTAGGCCAGCTCAGCCGGCAATAGTTCTGCTCCCGAGTTTCAATCTGGTATAACTCAACCCCATCTTAACTGGATTATGAGTCAATAATATTGTTCTTAATGGTTTTTATATGCCCACATAAGTCTTAGAGAAGACTTGCACAACCTGTGGTCCACCTAGTGGCCTGGAACTAGCCCCATGCAGCTCATCACCACCTTATATCTTGTGCTGAGGTCCTAAAATACACACTACACAACGCATGGCTAAAGAGCTGCGTTTGGCTTGGAAAGTAGGTAATATAGATTGTGGCAATCTATAGGCAACACTCTGCTTCATTAGAACAAGAATTGACTGAACATGGGAAGGATATACATTGGTTCAGGTATAGTGGAAGATAAGTCAAATTTGCAAGGTAAGATTTCAAGCCAGCTATTACACACACTAATATTGTAAAGAACTGGATATGAACCACACATTTGTCAGTCTTTCATAAACAACAACTCCTTCAGTTTTCTGCGTCCTGCAACAATCTGGCTTTGGACTTAAAATTCTGCATCTGATAAGGAGTCTTTTTATAACCAAGCTGTTTAAGCCATTGTCCTTCTGCATGCTCAAACTGCTTTTTGAACTGTGTATATAATTTTGCCAGATGTTTTCTGTTTTCAGAAATGTGTGACAAATAGATATGACTGGCTGGACATCACAAACCTTCAGGCTAATCATTCACAGCAAGGATGACCAACTGGTGGCTCAGAGAACTGATCCTCTCCTCCTAGGCAAATGTATCTGGATCCAGTCACCCTATCAAATCTTAACCAAGGTATAGGGAAAGCCCTAAGCACAGTTTCAATCATGAATTGGAGGGACAGGGAGGCATTTTCAAGTTGGAGGGATAGAGATGTTCCACATTTCATTTCTTTAGGATTTCCCCCCCCATTCAGTTTATGTGTGTATGTCTCACATACGTCCTATAACTGCACATATGTATATTAAGCTGTGTGCAGGTGCTCCATAACATGATCATCAGTTGTGCAGCCAAGCACACTTGTGGCTCCAAGTCCAGTTGTAGGTGAATAGGGTGGCTACAGTGAAGAATTTGGCCCTCCCTGATACAAGTTTCCTCTTCTGTCACGGTAGGTATTTCCAGCCTAATGACTCTTCCTCTCCCTCTTTGAGGCCAGTATCAGAGAGGTCTCCAGAACTGCAAAAACATTGTCAAACCTGACAGCCAAACAGATCAGTTCAGACTGAAGTAATCTCACCTTCCAAGTTTAGCAAGAAAAGCTTGTGCTGTTTATTTTTCTATGAATAAACACTTGTCATCCTCGCCCCCATTTGTCAATCCAGCACTTCTTTCTAAATACTAAATTCCATTTTGCAAATGGGTAAAGCCCCTAGTATGACAGGATATGCATTTCCTTTTATTGAGGGGGAAAATAGGTAGTTCATTCAGCGGAAACAATTTGAAAACATGTTTTTAAATTACTTGCTAGAATACATGTCTTCTTGCAGGAGATTACTCTGGCTCACGCCCCAGGAAACAGAATTCTCAAACACCATAAACTTAAGAATTGAAGGGGGTGATCCAGACCACCACTCTCAGGGCGACATGTGATTCTCCACTCTCTTTGGGTCCTGTCTCCCATCAACTGTGGCAGAAGGAGGCAGGAAGACACAGACAGCACAGACCTCATTACACCATGAACTTTTGTTCATTGTTTCGTTTGTTTTGCTTCCCCCTGGCTGATCCTGAAGCAGTGGCTCATTACTCACTAAGGTAAGATTTGTCCAAACTGCCCGAAATGTGGCTTGTACTTTCTCCATGTTGAGTCCCATACTCTGACTAATATCAGGCAGATGCATTGTAAATGGCAAGATATAGATTTAAATATATAGTTTTTCTTCTTGGAGAGATTTCTGCTGTTTGTTCTTTCCCTATACTGTAACAGACATAGCCCTCTTGAAGATATAGGGGTCTTGCTTTTCTTTTTGTAAAAATCTATTTAATCTTTGGAAATGCATTAGATTTTAATTTGCCCACTTAGGTAAATATTAAGTGTAAGTTATTTTGCAATGTGTACGGTAATCAGTACCCCTTTTACTCTTTCAGGTGGAGCCTTTTCACTAGACAAAATGGCTGCTTCCAGGATGAGGACAAAACTGCTACTCAGCAAATGGTTTCAGTAGAGACCTTGGCTGTACATACATTACCATCTTAAAAGGCAGCATTTCATTTTTTCTCACTGCTTTTCAAGTCAAATATGCCTGGTGCACAAAGGTAAATATGTACAGTATTGAAGTCCATACCGGTGGGCAGAGAGTAGACAGTGATGTCTTCACCTGAGGCAATTGTCTGGTTAGTTTCTCCATCCTGTCTCTGCCCCCAGAAATCCAGAATATCCTGGGATTCAATGCACCTTGAATATGGGTATTATGCCCAAGTTGGACAGGATAGCTCTGGATACAGCCCTTGCCTTTCTCCCCCAGGGCTCACTGAAATCAATAAAGAAATCTAAGCTATTCCTGGAGCAATGATTGGGCACAAGCCTATCCACACACAAAATACAGGAGCAAAGAGAGGAGGCTCTTTCTAACTAGGTTCTTATTTTGTGTGGAAGTTTCCACACCAAAGAATACATAATACCTAAAAATATAAATGTATCATTTATATAAAGTTCTAAAACCAACCTTAAAGCAATATATATAGCACTACACTTCAGAACACAAAACTGGGCCAGAGTTTCCATCTCCCAATGGCCCAAATGAATAAAAATGCCTTAAGCTGGTGTTGGAAGGTGATCAATGAGATGTTTGCACAACATACGATGAGAGTGAAGTTGTTTTGATGCTGAGTGTCTTTCCAGGCAACGTCTGCATATGCTTTGTGAAATTCCCCTGTATTCACCAGGAACAAGTTTTATATGCTCAGAGGCCCTAATGAAAAAGCTCTATTGCTCTCAGCAGACATTTAGTGCTTCAAACACTTTGAAAGATTGATTCTTAGTGCTAAGTATTAGCATAATTTTGCTCATAGAATTTTTGTACCTTTCACCTCCCTTTTGAGTGCTAAATTTGAAACGTATGTCTTATTTTTTCTTCAGATATAATGGACTGTTGTGGCTTGAGGACTCCCCCCAGTTTGTGTTGGATATGAGTGTTTGAAGACATTGGTTCGGCCGCTTGTGAAATACAGTCTCCTTCCTTAACATTTAGTTTCCCCCACTGCATATAAAAGTCACTGAAATTAAATGTATTTGATGCTTCATCATGACCAGTTTCTATTGCAAAGGCTTTGTTAGGTGACATTTATAACTTACATGTATTAGGCAGTGATACAATTCAAGTGTGTGTTCAGTTCATTCCCAGCAAAGTATTGAGGAAAGGATGAGGAAACAGAGAGCTGGAGCTTGGAATTATCACTTGTAGAAGTAAAAGCTAAAAGAGGTGAACAGAGCCTTTTCCGGGTTTCCTCACTAAGGAAGGAAGCTGGTGGGGAGGGGTGCACACAAGAGCATTTAATGCCAATCTAGGTTTTTAAATTTTTTATTTATTACTAATATTTAAATTTAGTATTTAATTTAATTTAGACCACTACAGTGGTGCCTCGGGTTACAAACACCTCGGGTTACAAACACTTTGTGTTACAGACTTCGCTAACCCGGAACGAGTACCTCAGGTTAAGAACTTTGCCCCAGGATGAGAACAGAAATCATGCAGCAGCAGCGGGAGGCCCCATTAGCTAAAGTGGTACCTCAGGTTAAGAACAGTTTCAGGTTAAGAATGGACCTCCGGAACAAATTAAGTTCATAACCAGAGGTATCACTGTACAATATATTTGTGAATGGGGGGGGGGGGGAATCAGGCAAGTTTGCATATTATGCAAAAGCACTCTTTATAAGAATCACATGGCTTTCAGCATAAAACCTGCAGTACTAAAAAAAATCCCTATTAAAGGAAATGAAAGTCAACCTGTGTGCCCATCTATGTTCCTCAGCCCTGAGTGCTCACTGGAAGGACAGATCGTGAAGCTGAGGCTCCAATACTTTGGCCACCTCATGAGAAGAGAAGACTCCCTGGAAAAGACCCTGATGTTGGGAAAGATGGAGGGCACAAGGAGAAGGGGATGACAGGACGAGATGGTTGGATAGTGTACCAGCATGAGTTTGACCAAACTGCGGGAGGCAGTGGAAGACAGAAGTGCCTGGCGTGCTCTGGTCCAGGGGGTCACAAAGAGTCGGACATGACTAAAGGACTAAACAACAACAATGTTCCCCAGCTCTCCATAGCAAATGCAAATAAAATGATTTAAATGTATTGTAAGGTGCAATATGCAAATGTGACACTAGATGGTGGCAGTGAGCTATGCAAAATTCAATGCATTTTTCAAAATGTTTTTTTTTTTAAAAAAAAGCATTTTCACTGTGTTTTTTATATGTGTGTAGATTCCACCTAAGTCTCACCAGCTCAAAGTTACTGCCTTTGCAGAATCAGCAGAAATTTTTAAAGAAGAAGAGGCTGATGGTTGGCAGTGGGCAAAAACTACCAATCTTCAGGCAGTTTACTTCCCCCCAAATACCCCAAACCAGGAGCTTTTATAGCAGCTAGACAAAGTCCAGCTGGCCTCATGGACCATCTTCTCCACTGAAATCAGCATCCTTCTGGTAAACAATTCCATGTATGAGGATTGCAGCATGCATTAAATGTTCATAAAAGAGACTATAGCATGACTTAATCATATACACTGACTGCAATATTGTGTCCATGTTACCTAACCTTATGACCTATAATAACTCATGTAGTTATAAAAATATGTATATTCCACTATTCGTTTTTTTAAAAAAACAGAATGGTTTGCAACAATTGCAAAGGAACTGCCCACTAACTTTTAGGAGACCCTAACATGCATATGCCATGTTAAGTAGTGTACACTTAATAATTAACTGTCACCCTTCCCTATATTTAGGTTGTTCAAGGGAAACTGTCTGATTGCCACCTCTCTCAGAGCATCAAAAAGTAAAAAAAAATAATCCCACAATGTATGAATACTAATTTAATTAGACCATCTTTAAATTTTCCCTAATTTGTGTCTAGCCATGGTAGGAACATATTTCGATGGGACAAGGCATCCCTGACCTGTCAATGCTGCTGGTGTGTACAAAAACGGATACAAATTGAGGCCATGTTGATGTGAACAGCTAGGGAGGAAAGAGCTGGAATGCACTGAAAAGAACAACTTCACTGTCCTTGAAGGTTGTTGGTATCACTCCAGAAACCTTCCAATTCATTTTAGACAATATTTCAGTGGCAATTCTACAATGACAAAATATTCATGTACATTGACTCAGTAATCTTTTCTGAATGTGAGAGTTTAGGTGAGAACTTAGGTCCAAACTAACAGCTGAAATGCTCTGAGCATGCATGAAATCCACCAGAGTTTGTGGGGTGGACCATTTAAAGGCAAATGGGCCATTTGAAACCAGCAGTTCAATTATGCTTGAAACCTGACCTTTCCTATTTAGGGTATAAATTTTGTTACCATTGAAGTGTTTTGTGGGGAAACAGGTGCACATATTAGATTGATTTATAAAACTATTTTGGATTGAAACATGGTCTCATTGCATTATGATATAGATATAAAAAGAGTTTGAAGCTCAAAGCTGAAAATGTGCCACCTTTTGTGGCATTAAATGTTGAATCTTCCTTCCTGCTCTATTATGGACAGGGGTGGAAATATAACAATTACGGAAGTACTCAGTGCTGAATATGCCCCCCTCCCCATCCATACACACACACCCCACACACCCAACAACACAGTTTATTTCTGACCCAACACCACATTTTATTTTTATGGCCATTTTACAACCTCTGTTGTTCTTCATAGTTTACAACATGGCAGCCAATGTTGTATAGTGTTTGTTATTTCTGGATGAGCACACATAATTGTCTCTAAAAAGTCATTTATCCAACAGATGTCTCCTCTTCTCTTTCTGCAGTTGGAGAAGTATTTCTGTGTGTTTCCTTTTTAACAATCTGTAGAGAATTTAAAGCAATCTTCCCCTCTTCAGTCAAAAGATGAGTAACAAAGTAGAAGTCATATTCTGCCTATACTGTACAGATGCTCAACCTAACTTGGTCATTTATATGATCCTTTCAAGAAGCAAGATTTTTCACATTACCTTGTGGAGGTAGGTGGTAAAATGTGTCATAAAATAATAATCCCTATTGTTATATATACTTTCAATTATTCTTTGTGTAAAATGTGTATAGGAAAATGTTATGTCCTTCACAAACATATATTGTTTTCATTCAGATTTTGCGCTGCAGCTGAAAAACCTCACAATTTTAGTCTGCCTTTTGCAGGCTACTTTGAAATGATTGCATAATTACTCCTTGTATGATTGCTAAAATCTTTTCCTGTTTCCTTAACCGGTCTTGTTCCAGAAACATAACTAGCTGCAAAGCAAGACTCCCAGCGCATTTGTCAAAACAACGTGAAACATGACCAAGTGCAATACCATTTAACAATGGGTATTTCTAAAGTGCCACTTAATTAAATTGTTGTTCATGCAGTAACTACAGCATCAGTTTCCCTGTCCTAGTACAGTATGCTGTGCTGAGGGACAGATGAGCTTCATAGCAGGCAGTGGGAATAAACAGAAGCAGACTATAAACTAATCAGACATTTCCCCCCCTCTCCTTCTGTGCACATGAAAGCTTCAAGTGGGGAGGTCTTAGCTTAGTGACATGTTTAAGATATGGAAGGTCTCAGATTCAGTTTCTGATATGCACAAAAATATATTGGGCGTTTTGCTAAATAGTCAGCTGAATCATATTGAATGAGCTGATGATCGATGATAACGGCTGGCTGAAATTCTGTTGGCAGATGGATTTTCCCCTATATCAAACTAAAAAAAATTGAAGGGGAAATGGTTGTTCTGGAGTTTGCTCATGCCTGTTACTTTTCCCCCCATGAAAAGGTTATTCCACTTTTCTAGATACAGAGAGGGAAGGAAGGCGAAAGATTTATCTGCTGCTGTTATTTCTGAAGAGTTACAAGGAAGCACATGGTAGATACAAATTCACTTCTGCGTGTGTTCATACTTTAATCATTATTATGGAAATGGAAGGGTAAAATAATACTTAATGATGGTAGTAATGAGATTGCATAACTTGAGGGTGTGCTAATCTGCAGAAGATTAAGAACGTTAAATAAAAGGAAAGCTGTGTTATGTTTGCAATTATATCTCAGAATTTTTCAAGCCTAGAAAGCTGGAAAATGCATATTCTTTATCCTCATCACTTCTGCTGAGAAATGCCCTTTCCATCAAGTGTGGTCTGCCAAGCCCAATCTAGAACATGAACTATGTGGAAAAGATTGTGGGGCACCTGACAATTGTCCTGTTTTTGGAGTTCTAGGTTCCAAAAACAACAACTCTCAAGCTCCTACTGGTAGCAGGAGTTATTTTAGTTTATTGAATTCACAAATTGCTTCCCATAACAGAAAGTCCCAAAATAATAAAAATAATAAAATACAGTGATGCAGTAAAAAATAATAATACGTATGCATATTAAAAACAAACAGAGTAAAAACATCCAATCACTGGAGCTGCCCAAATGCCCAGGAAAACAAAACCTGTTTGCCTGGCACACCATCTCATCTTGACATGGGGATGGTGGTAAGATTTCCTGCCTTCAGGTCACCCTCCTCCTGTCCCACCAAGGAAAACCACAGCAAAATTTCCCCAGTCATGTGCATTGGGCTGATGACATGTTGGGAGAGCCCAATGGCTGTCATGGAGGCCATAAAGTCCTGAGCCACTGTGGAACTGGCAGCCTCACCAGAGATACTAAAATCCCTCAGGTCCAGCAGCCTGTGGAATCTCAATAAGTTGCACAGGAGGAAGTCAGGAACACAGTCAGGAACTTCTAACCCAGGAGGAATCTTAACACCACAGAATGGCAGAGGTGGTGGTGATATTTTCCTTGGAATCTGAGTGGTCATAGATGTGTGGCCTGCAGGTGGAAAACTGTTTGAGGGTATTTTGGGTGGCTAAAGTCCAGAGAAGGAAGGGTTAAGCAATTCCCCCTACCATTCTCTTGATCAAATTTGCAACTTCCATATATACTCTTCATTTTATTGTATCATTTGGATTTTATTTTTTTTAAAAAAATACTTTTAGGGAGGACCTTAGCATGCGCTTTTCGTTGAATGTGTAATCTAGCCCTTTAATTACATAAAATGGAGTTGTGTACACAAAATTTGGCCAACACTTGGATGTGAATCCATTTTGTCTAATAGAGAAAAGCAGGCTGTGTAAACAGAAAACATGCTGCTGAAATGTGTTGGTTTGAAATCAGGGGTTTTTAAATCCTTGAAATCTGTCCAGCATTTCCTTTTTTCAATTTTGCAGCTCTTTCAATAAGTTCAGGTGCAGCATTTGAGCTGCAGAAAAGAGCAACCTTTTTATTCATTCATCAGAGGAGCAATCCAAGAGTATCTTCGTGCCAAACTGACATGGCACTCTCATTTAGTTTACTAGATGCATTTTCTTGCCAAGCCATTTCTCTTTTTCTTCTTATTGCAAAACCATGGGGTGGAGATAGCACCTGACATGGTATTGAAAAACATGTAATGTATAGCCTGTTCCTAAGCATATTTATTCAGAAGTAATTCCTCTGATGAATCAACTTATCTATGTATCTTCCAAAGTTTTCATATCATTTTGATCAGTTCTATTTTTCTATAAATAGCCGGACCTCACCATGAACTCACCCTTGTTCTCTGAGAGGTGCCTTGTTCTCATAGAGGCACTGTGGTTGGTTAGTGCCTCTCCTGTGCTCAGGAGACTGGCCTTTTGCCTATCCTGGATGGCAATGCTCTCCCTCTGAAACAAGTGCATAGTTTTCGAAGGCTCCTTGAGGTTCAAGTAATCTCAGTGGCTAGGAGTGACTAGGAGTCAAATTCTTGGACAAAGTCAGTGGTGGAACCAGAGGCAGGAATTATGGGGTATACAGATTAAATAAATAAATAAATAAAATTAATGGCAGTCTAACAATGTGGGGGCGGGGCAAGTGACAGCATGCTCCTTGTGGTATGGTGGTGTCCCCCCTCCCCCCGATACTGCCCATGGACAGGGGTTGCCTGATCATGGTGATTCATGCATTGGTAAGACTTGATTACTGCAATGCATCCATATGGGGCTCTCCTTGTGCCTGGGTCTGGAAACAAAATGCTGCAGCTAGACAGCATAAGGATGGACTATGACCAACAACTCAAGGGCTCAAAAGCTTGCACTGGCTGCCTGTATGCTACCAGCAAAGTCACACAAAAATATAGCATTTTGCTATTATATCATATGTGTTGTTATATGCTACCAGGTCAGGTTCAAGATTCTTATATTAATTTACAAAGCTGTTAAGAATGTGGGTACAGGATATCTTATGGACCGCCTGATCTCTCATATGTCTGCCTGATCACTGAGGTCTTGGGGGGAGTCCCTTTTGGTGGCTCCTGCTTGGCTTAGATGCACAGCTCCTAACTATTAGAAGCTGTGCATTAAGTGTTGTGGGCCCAAGCCTGCCCCCCTGCCCCCACTGAGATGAGGCAGACACCCTCCTTGCTAACAGGAGACACCTCTCCAGTTTTCTGCCCAGCTTTTAAGACCTGCTGCCTTGCTGAATCTGACTGAGGTCCATCTATCTCCACATTCTTTTGTAATGACAAGCCGGAAGCCTTCACTGCTAGTAAGCAGAACATGCAAGTAGTAGTTTTCCAGGCTCAACACAGGTTTTGGAGGTCCTTTTTTCAAGATATCATCTACTCCTCCCCAATTTGGTCATTCTATTCCCAGCATCTCTCTCCATTGCAATGACTGCTTTTCAGAAAAGAGGGTTGTAAAATGGAGAATTATATACGCTGGAAGGCTCTCAGTTTCCACAGAAAAACACTGTCCTATCACTCTCGTTTGGCCTCTGGGCACCTAGGGCCAAGAGCTGACTGGTCCAGCC